ATTGAGAGGGAGTACTTGAGTGGAGGCCAAATCTCCATCTGCTACCTTAATACTAAACCTATAAACATATGCACATAAATGTATGTCCCCATCCTCATATATCAATATATTTACATATGTACATGCCTATATTTAGACCTCTATAAATGCCCTTTGCCTCCTAATTCTTTCATCTATTTCCTTTTACTTTCTTCTTGTCCCACTATCATGCTCAGCCTTCATTTGGGTTTCAGTAATTCCTCTCGGTTACATTGCCCTTGATCAAGTCCTACCAGGCCTCCTATACCCCCCTTGCCATCAGTTTTGGATCACTTGTTGTTCCCTTATCACTGGGTTTGTTAACACCACTTCCTTTCCCCCCGCTTCCCCCTCTCCCATGTTCCCCCAGAACCACTGGTTCCATTGTTTTCTCCTCCAGATTGTTTATCCCACCTATCTTATCTAGATAGACCTGCAGAGAAATATGCACAAAAAATAAGACATAGAAAAACAAAGCAACAAAAGAAAACAAAACAACAACAACAAAAACCAACGGCAAACAAAAAGAAAAGCCTGTAAATAGTTCAAGGTCCAAGACTAACTTCTGATGGGTTTAGAAAGCCTCATTTTTCTCCCTCAGAGCAGCTGGTGGTTTCAAACTGCTGACTTCATGGTTAGCAGCTCAGCATGTAACTAGTACACAACCAGGGCTCCACAAACTACTTAGGATCAAATCCAAGCTAGTTTACCAGATTTTAAAACATTGGGTAAGTTATTTAAACTTCTCTTAACCATTTTGGGCCTCAGCTTCGTCATCTGCAAATAGGGATAAAAAGAGTTTCTTTCCTGGTGTTTTGATGATTAGATGAATTAGTTATCATTATTATTATTTATTAATTGTAGTAACAAAGATCTATTGATTTCCTACTATATTCTATACTCTAGTTTCCATGTATAAGACAGAAATGGGTCTTCCCTTGAGGTAATTTAGATGATTTATTTTCAAACTAGAAACCCCAAATCATTAAAGGGTTGTGAAATCAATGCAGTGTGGTGTTTTTTAAATGACCTAGGATAGAATTTTGTATAATCAGAGTTTATGCAACTTTTTTCAGTTACTTATATTTTTATACGTATGGCTTGAGTTTTGATTAAAAATGTATTTCATAGATGAGGCACTGTGAAAAGTGTTTCATGAAATACTGGCACCATGGAGAACATACGAATTAGTAAGTCCTCCTGATAGAGTACATGTGGTAAGTGCGCTGAGTAAGTGCCCTAGCAAAGGCCACCGAGGACATGATTTGTGGCTGACTTGTCTGACCAAACCAAACCAAAGCCAAACTCACTGCCATCAAGGTGATGCCTACTCGTAGCGACCCTACAGGGCAGGGTAGACGTGCCCGTGTGCGTTTCTAAGACCGGAACTCTTCATGGGATCGGCAAGCCCTGTCCATCTCCCTTGGAGTGGATGGTGGTTTCAAACTGCTGACTTACAGTGAGCAGGCCGATGTGTAAACTCTACTCCACCAGGCCTCAGTTGCAGGGAAATGCAAAGCTTCCAGGAGCAAGTGGCATTTAAACTGAGAACTCAAGGGTGAGTAGAAGTTTGCTAAGGAAGGTGATCCTGGCTGGTGGTGTGGGAATTGTTCCTTTAAAGGAAGTGGGGAGCCCCTGGAGGGGAGAGGACTTAATGAAGCTGGGAGAGACTTGTTCATATTTGCATTGTTGAACGGCCACTCTTGCTCCTTGGGAAGAATGGATAGATCAATAAAGAGGTTGTATAGTAATTCCAGTGTGATAGACAGGATAGAGGGATTGGGGTGAAGGCACTGGGTGCAGGCACATGGGTATTCAAAGGGGACCTTATTTAGGTGGGAATGGCAGGGCTTGGTGATTGATGGCCGAAGGTGCTGGAACTAGAGAGACTGGGGCGGATTCCTGCTTGTTCCACATCTTTCCTTACTGTCTAATTTACAAAGGGTTCAGAGAACCGATCTAAGTCTTTAAGTTCTCAGCTCCTAACTTGTGACATTTCCCTGTAAACAGGAAGACAGGACCTTTCAGTCACTTTGCAAATCATCTCTCCACCCTGCTGGACATATCTGCAGACGGTTGCCAGTCTTGGAGTTGGCAGGGTTTACTGTTCCAAAGTGGGCTGGTTCTTGGCAGGAGACTGGAAACAGAATGGAAACTGGGCCAGCCGGGCACCTTCCATGAAAAGGAAAAAAAAAAGAAAGAAAGAATAAAGTGGAAACCTGGTACTTTCCAATCTGACCCAGAATAGTGGGTCAGAAAATAATTTCAAAGTACAGATAACTCAAAAGTGTTTATATTTGCTTTTGAAATGCCGTGCATATTTGGCAGTGGGTTTAACCTTGCCAAATGTTTCCCTTAGGCGTTCTTTTGCATTCCTTGAACACAGACCATCTGGGTAGCATAGGGGGTGAGCTGGAGCTCGGGAAAGGCTAGGTGGGTGGCTGGGTGGTCCCAATGTTTAAAAATCAGCCTGAGAGGACAATGATCCTATCAGCACAGTTAATCAATGCCTATCTGTCTGCTTGTGTCCTGTCACAGAGCAGGGAAGTTTTTCTCACCTAAGTCTTGCCAGGTCACATGTTGCCTTGAAAATCGGCAACACAATGTTTCTTACCTAAATCTCAGAACAGGCCACAGGGCCACATCCACACACGGTGCAGCCAGCTGAGCCAGGGCTCAGCAGCAACCTCAAAATCAAACCATATTTGGAGCACTGGGTAGGGTATTTACAGATGTTACCATAAAAGACAGCCTAAGTCATAATCGGTCCTGTTTTGCCCAGAGCTGGCCAGACCAGAGGCCTCTCTCTTTTCCTGTTATTCTAAGATTGCAGCTTCCAGACAAGTTAAAAGCTCCGCTTATCTTCCATGGCTCAGGTCCTCCTAAGAGAGCTGTACTGCACTGAAATTCTTTAAACAAAGGGTCTCCACACAAGTCCCCTTTCAGGCTGAGAAGAAATGTTGAGGTGGCAGCCACTCCCTGCCGAAGAATCCTAAGCATTTATTTTCCTGTTCTTCCAGAGGATCTGGCCAAGCCAGGATAGTGGCCTGGTACCCAGGCTGGAGAATTCATTCACTGGGAATAATTAGTAACAGACCCCAATCTGGAAGTACAAGAAAACAGACTTTTGCCAAATAAAGTGCGGCTTTTCATAAACTGAGCTCCCATGGCATTGTGGGTTAAGCCTTGAGCTGGTAACACCAGGATCTGCAGTTGTTAACCACCTGCTGCTGCTCCTGGGGACAAAGATGGGGCTTTCTATTCCACGGGAAAAGTTACACTCGCTTGGAAACCCAAAAGGGCAGGGGTACCCTGTCCTATGGGGGTCCCCCTGAGTTAGAATCGGCTCAATGTCAGTGAGCTTTTTTGTTTTTGTTTTAGTTGTTCATAAACACCACACAAGTGAGAGCACTTCCTTATTTCTCTGTTCCTAGTTCCCTGGGCAGGGCTACCCATTCAAGGGAATTCTCTCAAGCTGTGTGAGGTGAAACACCATCATTTCCCTTACAGACTCCATGACTTGAACGGGAGGAAGACGTCTCCCTCCCCCATACTCCTGTTTCACCTTACCACGCACCTTCCCAACTCACACCCCAGATCGTAGACACACACGTCGCCCATCCAGTTCACTCCTCGAAGGCCACCGGGAAGGGCATGGAAACGTGAGCTAGAGCAACAGGTTCCACCCACAGCTTGAACTTGGGAGCGGAGCGGGCAAGCAGAGCCAGGGTGGTACAGGGAGAGGAAGGGGCAAGGGTGATGAAATGCAAACGATGGTTCACGACCACTGAGCACGTCACTAGGGCTCCTACGAGGGGCGTGTGTGTGCATGTGTGTCCAGGGGAGGGCATCATGCACGGGGCCACTCGGGGACAGCAGCGTGCGTTCCGAGGCCTTGCGCGTTGGGGTGCCGGGAGGCTTCCTGGGGGATTCTGTAGGGTACGAGCCCAGAGAAGAAGGGTTAAGAAGCTCCGAGAAAACGCGAGTGTGTCTGGGGCTAAAACAGAACACACTCCCCGGGGCGCCGCCCTGGCTAATCGGCCGGCTCTGCTCCCCGAGAGCCCCGCGCCCCCTTCTGTCCGTCTTTTCGCGGCCTCTCCAACCTCCCCCCCGCCCGCCTTGCTCCCGAGCCTGCTGCGGGGAAAACGGGGAGAGCGGACTGCGCGGCGCCCGGCCGCCTCTGGGCATGCTCGGTGGCGGGACCGCTCCGCCGCCGGGAGGGTGCGTCCTCCTCCCCAGGGG